TTCAGTACATTTTTGTCTGTGTATTTGTACTTTTACTTAAGTAAATTTTTTGAGTATTTTGTCCACCACTGGGTAGCATTGACATCTTGGGGCATCACACAAACAATTCAATTTTTGTACCTTGGAGAAACGCATGAACTTCAAACGCACCTGTGCTACAGTTCAGTCTAAGCAACAGATTACTTGGCTAATAAGCTACCAGTCATGCAACTAAACAAATCTGCTACTTAAATAAAACGTTTTAAGATTAAAAGTGAAGACTGTTGCCTTGAATGCCAACAAATAAATATTTCACAAGTAACTGGAGTTGTGCAGTTTGAGTCGTCATACCACAGTTATTTTCTGTCCTGTGTGGATTCTGATGTGTCTGCTTAAATGTGACTTACAGCTAAATCTGTGTCCACAAACGTCACAACAGAATGGTTTCTGTCCTGTGTGGATTCTCATGTGTTTGTTTAAGGTAGTTTTGCGGCTAAATCTATTTCCACAAAGATCACAACAGAAAGGCTTTTGGCCTGTGTGGATTCTCATGTGGGTGATTAAACTAGATTTATGGCTAAATCTGTGTCCACAAAAATCACAACAGAATGGTTTCTGTCCTGTGTGAATTCTCATGTGTGTGGTTAAAAGTGATTTTTGTCTAAATCTGTGCCCACAAATGTCACAACAGAAAGGTTTTTCTCCTGTATGAATTCTCATATGTGTGTTTAAATGTGAACTATGGCTAAATCTGTCTCCACAAACATCACAACAGAAAGGTTTTTCTCCTGTGTGGATTCTCATGTGTGCATTTAAATTCCATTTTCCAAAAAAGATTTTGCCACAGTTTTCACAGTTAAATTCCCCTCCTGTCTGTACCTTCCTTTGTGGGTTAACATTTTTGTTCTTTTTAAAACATTTCTTAAAATCCAGAGAGTTTGGAGAGACTATTTCTGGATCTTGTTTGTTAGCTTGGTTTCCATCTGACTCAGGAGCTCTGCTCTCCTTCCAGCCATTGTCCATGTCCTTAGTTTCCAGTCCGGAGTCTGATAAGTCTTTCATTTCAGAGACAGGGTGATTTACATCTTCATCTCTTTCGGTGTCTTCATACTCTAAGGAGTTGGAATCATCTCCAGGATCTTCTGACCTGATGGATTCTCCTCTGTTTTTTTCTGAAAATTCTCCATCTTTCATTTGGTCTTGATAAAGCTGTGAGAGCAGGGGGGACTGTTCACCATCCTCACACTTTATGCCACTTTCAAACTCCACCTTCACTTTGTGCAGCTCTCCCCCCAGGCTGATGCAGACATCCTCATCTTCCTTCTTTATGTGGTAGAGTTTTGGGTCATGCAGATCAGAACTAGGATTTTCATCTTCTGTGTCTTCTTCTTTAACCACCAGCATCTGCTTAACATCTGCAGGAAACATTGAACCAGGTCATCAAAAGGGTATTCAAAAGCTATTTTTGGACCACAGTGGAAACTTAAGTCACATCTTTGACTGCTTGGATTTGTTATTCCAAATCAAGGATTTATGTGGGGACATTTTGTATATAAGGAGCTAACATAGTGTAAGTGATGGTAGTGTCTAGTGTGCAATTTATGTTGTAAGGGACGGAGAACAAATAGCCATGCATAATATTGACTTTAATAAACAAATTCAGATACATTTGCTTTATTCAGTACTTTACCACATGTGGTGAGACTTACCCATGACGGTGGGCTCCAGCTTCATACAGACGGCCTGAGGGATGTGATTTCCAGAACTGGTCTCAATGGAGGAATTTATTCTTCCAGAGGTTTTGTCTCTGGGCATCAATCCATCCGCCTGGATGCCGTTTTCCAGGCAGTCTGGCTCCCAACATCCAGCATCAGTCTGAGCACCAATAAAACATGTCATTTGGCATCAAAGAGGGAAACTATACCATTACACAGTCAACCAAATGGATACAGAAAAAGCAACAAATTGATAATTACTATAGAGACATTGTAATCAACCCTTAGCTGATAAATTGAAGATGCAAGAAATGTGATATTTAAAGCTACTGAAGACGAGAAGATGCAGCGTGAAGTGGAAACGTATCTTTTGCCAAAATTGGTAATGAAAACAAATTACTTGATAAAGTAATTAATGGTATTAACCGTCTAAAAATGAAAGTTATTTGACTATCCTGTGTGACAAAGTTGTATTTGTTTATCATTTTCAGCAGTATTTAAAAATATAACTAATTTTCTTATCCATTTTATTTCCAGTGTTATTGTTTTATTCATTAGTTAATTTCTTTAGCCAATTACTTCTATTGCATTTATTTTACGTGTTAATTTTTTGTCTCTTTTTTAAATTATACATTGATTTATTTTGTCTTCTAATACGTTTTATTTTAACTTTTTCTCCTTTGTCCATTTGTTTATATAGGGTTCCATTTGTGTCAAAAATAAGTACAAGTCATATGTGTAGTTGTTGGTCTATGTTGCCATGTGACTTTGGTTGACGTCTATGGTCTTAGTGCTTTATGGATATGTTAATGTTGCATGTAGATGTGTTCGCTGCATATGTCTATGTTGCATAGGTTATGTCTCTTGCTTCGTCATAGTTATTACTGTCATCTTGTTAATTCATCTGCAGTAAAGCAGTGAATCCTTCGCAGTTGTTTTTTGATTAAACTTCCGTGATTGGTCCTTGTTGTTGGTCAGTGTTGCTGTTGCCTGTTCTCTTTGCCATTAATATGTGTCATGTCTGATCAAAGCATTTATTAGATATAACAAAAATGTTGGTCATTCAATATTAGTGGTTTCAATTATCAGTGGTTTAAAATGCTTAGACTTCTACCTCGTATTTTCTCTAGGCATTAATCAGGGCACCTAACGAGGTCGAGGGGGTCCTGGCCCAAACAGCCTTGGGATAATGGGCGTTGGGCAGGGAGGAGGGGGTGCAGGGCTTAATTTAATAGGCCTGTTAAAAAATAATACCAGAGAGTTCATGCTATTTATCATGTTTGCTCGCACTGGAAGGACCCAGACTGCTTTACATCATCTCCAGTGTCTGGGCCACCAGCTTGTTAATTGATTGAAAACTAACAGGGGGCACAGTGGGCCAATGGATGCTAACCATTTTTTTCCTCTTTAGGAAATTCGTACACATTAATATAAACTGAGAATACAGTTATCCTTGGAGGACTCGCTAATATTAAAAATGGTCAAAATGCCACCGTGTCTTTAATGTGGCCCTCGAAGCACCAATGCGCACCCTCACGCCCCAGTTCCACTGAACCGGAAATGGCTTCACACGATTCTGCCGTGAACCACGTCAGGCATTACCACCACCATCAGTCTATTTCACAATAATGTGCCTGTGCAAATTCAAATTCCTTGGAATCTTATTTAAAACCCCAGATATATTTTCAGTGAGTGCTGTTATCTGTACAGCCAAAAATAAACTAGAAAAATCAGGTGGTCTTTACATAAATTAAGCAAAAATGCTTCTCCTCCAGTCAACAATTCACTTATTCTATTGAGAACTATGATGAGTATAATTTGTCCTCGTGTCATTATAGGCCACAATAATAAATTTTACAAAGGAAATGTTTTATAACATTGTGAACACAGAACTATTTACAATCTGATGAACAAATAAAAAATAGTAACATTTTCAAAAACACCTTTGTTGAAGAAAAAAAGCGCAATTTCACAAGAAATACAGTTTTCTGTTAATAAAAAAGGTACATGGAAAATAAAAAAAGATTAAACAAATGTGGGAATGTGTGAAGTGCCAACTGCACAGCCTCCAAACAAATATCAATATTAGTGAAGACTCCAGTCTGTTGAGCTCGTAATAAGATGCTGTAGATCTCTTCATAGCGTTGCTCAAGGAAATCCAAATCAAACTACAAGGCGTTATCCTCAAAATGATCAGACAGTTGTTGGCATTGAGTGTAGAGATAGATTAGCAATTAATGGCTCCGCTGGTTGTCCTCAGAACTAAAATGAGAAATACAGTGTTACGACTGGCTCAGGGTCGTAACAAAAACAGTAGACCATGCCGCGGTTAAAGTGCATACAAATGAATATTAACAAAAACATCAATGGATTATGGACATCAGTATCAGTGGTGTAATGCAAATGCTAGGATGTGTTGTATGAGTGCATATGGAAGTGTTGAGGTGCCAAAACAAAGACAAACTCAAAAGTGCAACAGGAGGGGAGTTGAGGCCTGGCAACCAAACATCACAAGCGGCAGAGTGGACGCTGAGGGCGACCCAGAAGACGGAGACGGCCAGGTTCAAGTACTCTGCGCTCCATATGAACAAATCAGCAGCACCTGTAAAGGGGAGGAGCAAAGACAGACGAGACCTGCAACCCAGGCCCAACAAGGCCCAGAGCCGTAACACTCCCACCCATAAAAAGCAGGTTCCTATAGGGAACCTTGCTCCTGTCTAACTCACCGTGTGTAAACAAACCCAGCCACCATTAAGATGTT